CAGCTGTCTCAGGGTGATTTATATTCTTCAGTCTTTAGTCAGATCCCTGTTAGTTTTAGCTTTTCTTCCGGGGATTCACAGACAGGATTTATATTGTACGGTAAGGACCCTGCAAAATTAAAGCGGAAAGGTCTCCAGTGAGCAAGCACTCGGTGACGATGGGGAGGAAGAACTTCCTTTCAACTGGAAGAGACCTCCAGCAAAACCAGGCTGAAACCTTTCACCCTTGAAAAAATAAATTTGGTCCTAGTATGCTTTCAAGTTAAGTTACTTGCTTTCAAGTTAAGTTACTTGCTTTAAAACCCTAAAATTAGGAGTCAGTAATGGTTTGCTTTGCACTGTTCAATATATAACATGAGATGTCTCAGTAAGGATATATTTCTTCAATAGATCTTTTTCCATCTTCACTGAGTTTAGTCAATCTGAACATTTATTCCATCTTTAATTTCACCTTCTCTAAATATAGGAAGACAGCATGCTTCACATTAAGATAAAACCTGTAAATAACTAAATAATGGTAAATGTAAATAATAAATGTGAGCCACAGCTCCTTGGTGGTGCTGCACATGAGCCATGACAAGTCATTTACAATACATTAACTGGCACCTCATCTCTTAACCAGAATTCTTAATTTTTGCAACATTAAATATGTTTAGATATATAGAAATATACGATAATCCTACAGGATAAAAACTATTTTAAGTGTATTATTTAGGAGAGAAAATGAATGTATATTCTTTTCAAACTCTGGAGATTTACAATTCTAAATCACTAGTATCAAAAGCAGTGTTACCAAAAAAAACCCACATGAACTATTACTATTACTATGTATAGAGCATGTATACCATGTGCTTTAGTAGTCCACCAGGTTTATGTCACAGCTGCCCTAAATCAACAGCACTGTTAATTACTAGAATCCTGTAATTAATAAACTGATATTTTTATCCCTAAAATATAATTGTTATTCAAATTTGCATCCACAAAAAGGCTAAAGGTTTTTTTTATTTTTTATTTTTAAAGATGCCAAATTAGTTTACTTGCATTCCTGAACAGTTGAACTGTTCACCTTATTAATTTGACCTCAGATTTCCAGTGTGCCAGCTCGAGTATATAAAAACATGACTTCAGGTTAAACAGGGTTTTGACAGATTCCGAAAATGTTGTTTTTGAACAGGTGGTCTTACACATTTGTTAAACCCTGTATGTTTATATATGTAAATACAGATATTTACATATATAAACACTGTGGAATCTTTTTAATCCTTTTGGCTTCGTTCAACAGAATGAAGCTAAGGCAAAATGAATGAATCCAAACCTATTGCATTCATCACAAACACAAATTAAATGAATGCAAAGAAACTTTTTTTGTTACACTTGTGTGATGATCAGATTTTGGATTAAAGGTTTGGTTAGTCTGCAGAAAATTTTCACATTTCCCAGTTAAGACAACGCTTCATATACACGACATACATGTGTTGCTTGCTGGTCCTTTAAATGCTTCCATCAAGGAATAAAAGACAAAAAAAAGAGCCAAAAAGAGTTGTGTTGATGATTTATTTTTAAGGTAAACATCTTATTCAAAAATAAATTACCAGAGATATCTTTAAAAGAGACAGACACCTTCTCCTGCCCGCTCATCACAATCAAAAGCTTTTCCTGTCAGATCTATTCACGCGTTTCCGCTAACGTCGATCCTCACGAGGAGAAACTAAACCTACAGCAGCAACTTATCATTCTTAAACCACAGACTGGTAAGTTGATCAACAAGAGAGGAAAACAAAAAAAAATAACCATTTTCAACTGATTCGCTATAAAATGTACACAAAGTTTATTTAAATATTTAATCCAACGTACATGCCCGATTTGTAGTTTGAACACATAAAAAAACCAAAAAAAACAAAAGACTGTACAGTACAAGACTGGTGCTTAAGGTGAGCAGTGGATGGAATCGATGTGAAAAAGACAGGTGTGACGAGTTAAACCGACTGGGTAGATTTATTTAGATCATTTAACAGTCAAGCACATTTTATTCATTTCATTCTGGAGATCGAAGCTCTGACAGCTGCCTCAACAAAAAGGCAGGTAAAGTGTCAGGTAAGGAGTTTGGGGAGCGAGCTGAGAAGACGAGACCTGCAGCACTCACTTGTGTCAGTTAAAGTAAAAGCTGACCAGCTTAGCTTCACTGGTACTGGTTTCATTTGAATCATGTCTTTGTGCTAAACTAACCAGCAGCTGAGTGTTGCTTTACGCGCATCTTCTCATCCAACTTTCAGCAAGAAAGTGGACAAACATAGCTCCTCAAACTTAATCCTTTAATTAGGTTTATAAAAAAACAAAAGCATCAAATTTACTGTAAATAATGTACAAAACATCTGAGCTGGGGCTCCCAAAGCAACAGTCAAACTTACAGCCTGTAGGTCCTAAAACTGCAAACAATCAGCACTAGTGTGACTTAAACTGAACTACCTCACTATAGCTGGACTCTAAAAGCTCCTCATGATACAACACGGCTCCTCTTAACAGCATGCAGTGGGCCAAATTCTATCAGGTCTGTTACAAGAAGTCCAGATATAACGCGTAAAGAACAAGAGGATTGAGACTCAAGAGATAATAATGGAATATGAAACAAGCGCAAAGATGGGAGCCCAGATGTGGATTATACAAATGTTACCTGATTAACTTGTCTTCCAAATGTAGTGCAGAAAACTAATAAAGGAGGCAGACAGAAGAGAGAGAGAAAAAAGAATTACAGCTTTGATTTTTATCCAGAAGTCACATTTTCAGTGGTAGATAAATGTCTTTAAATTGCCCCCGACTCAGATTTTAATTTACTTTCACTTCAGTAGAATCAAGAGAAACTTGAGCGTCACATCTTCATGAGCTTTTTAAGTCGATTAGTTGTCTGTTCTTGCAGGACAAGCTATCACCAGGCAGAAGAGGAAGTAAACTGAGCTGGCCTGTAAGACGAAATGAATTCAGTTTGCATCCAATGCTGTTAACAGCTGCCCACAGCTGTGTCAGTTTTCCTTGAATTACAGCTTAATCATGATACGAGTGCAGTTCACTACCACCATCAATCTGTGTGCACGCGTGTGTCAGCCTTCAGTATGCATCACAATGCAGCATGGCACACTGGAGAAGATTTGTCAGGTGTTTTGGCAGAAGGCTGGACTCTGCTCAGTCAACATGCAATATCTGAGCTGAGGCACTGGGGGGCGATGAAGAGCAGAGCAGGCAGAGGGCCTCAAGTCCTCGACAGGCAAATAAAGAGGGGGGCAGCTATGTGATGAAGGACATTTGGCAGGAAAAACAAAAAAAGTGGGTCAGCTTTGGTGTTGAACTAGTTTCACAGTTCTAGGACTGAACACGCCAAGTCAGTGGAGGATGATG